GGGAAAGAGAGGGAGAGAAGAGAGAAGAGGGAATGGAGACACACACACACAAATGGCCCCTGCATTCCGGCCGAGCGTCCGATCGTCGCAGCTCCGCCGATCGTTGCAGCTCCGCCGATCGTCAGTCCGCCGTCTACCTCCACCGCTGCCGTCTGTCTCTGCTTCTGCTTCTTCCCTTCTTCTTCTTCTTCCCGTCTGCTTCTTCTTTCTGATTGAACCAAAAAAAAAAAAAAAAAATTCAAAAACGCCGAAACGGCGTCGTTTTGGTTTCGAGGGATTAGGGGGTCTTGGTTTCGAGCTACGTAGCACGGTTCAAATAATTAATATCAAATTGTTAATTAAAAAAGTCACTTTATTTAATACAATATATTCATTTACTGTATCATTATATATACATTGTTAATAAAAAGTAGCTAAGGCCCCATTTGTTTTCAAAGGTAGAATGGAGGGGATTGATGGTGAGGGGATTGATAGTGAAGGATTAAGTAAAATTGTGTTTGTTTTGATGATAGTTGTTAGTGCAGGAATTGTTAAATTATTTTTATATAAAATAATAAAACAAATAAAAAAATATAAAAAGTTGAACATTAATATTTTAAAAAAAATTCCCAATATATAAAAAACAAAAAAAATAAAAAAATTCTAATTCTCTAACTATTTTTCTAATACCATCTCCACCCCCTCCATCTCAATCCCCCTCCCAACCTCCATCTATATCACATCCTCCATCCTAATCCCCTCTCCAACTCTACAAACAAACACAACACTAAATAATCCCAGCTCCATCCTAATCCCCTCCCATCTATTTAACCCCAAAACAAACGGGGCCTTAGATCCATTATATGAATTTGTTTTATGCTTTTCATTGGATTTCATGGTCAGAAAGTTTTTTCCTCTGCTCTTTTGTTTTTTTTTTATATTATATTATCTTATGATTGCTTCCTTTTGTTTACAATCAATGGATCAAGATAGAGTTTTTTTATTTTTTATTTGTTAATGGGAATCACTTACCAAATATGTATAAAACCTGCTTTGTGGGAGTAGAACTTGTTTTCCCCGGTTAAATTTAATCCACAGCAGTCGTGATCTGATATTTATTTTTCTCTTGCTGGTTAAAAATGCTGCTTGTGTAATAATGCTGAGAGAAGAGAGTAATTTGGCGAAAATACACATAAAACTAACAATACGGGAGACTATAAATTTTCTTCTTGCTACCAAAAAAAAAAAAGAATAGAAAAGATGGAAAAAAAGAACTTTGGAACTGACTAAACCAAACCAAACTAAGTCATGTGTCCCAATGATGTAGGGTCAGCTATATAAATCCTACTCGGTGTTATTAAAGGCGATAGGTGCACCAAGGCACCAAGGTCTCCTGGGCCCAAGGGTCAAGGCACAAGGTGATGTGTAGGCTTCACCAAAGTAAAACACACCTTGTACGAAAAAAATATATAATTTAATATAAATAAATAATTTAGGGTTCAACATAAATAAAATGAAATATTAAACATTTAGTGTTCTTCGGAGATTAGGAATTAGGGCTAATTTTTCTTCTATCATTGATTTAGGGTTGAATGCCTAATGTATTGGTATCTATAATAAGAGTAGGGATCTTCTATAGCTGCACCATATTAAATCAATGGTCAAATTTTAAATAAAACTAATTAAGGCATCAATAAAAAAAGCTCTCAAGATGCAAGCCTTGGGCCTTATTATGCCTTGGACCAGTTAGGTGCCTTATCGAAGTCACCTGGCCTGCAACACTACAAGGTGCAAACCTTGAGCCTAGATGGGACTTGGGCCTAGGTGCACACCTAGGTACGCCGTATTGAAGTTGCCTGGCTTGGAACATTACAAGCCGCAAACCTTGGGCTTGGATGGTATTTGGGCCTAGACGCGCTTGTAATAACACTGATCCCATTTATGATGATCCTATCACTCTTCCTTAAAGTTGCATCTATAGGTTTTCGTTGAAATGAGTGAACCATCTTTTTTTTTTTTGATTGGCACTAGATCAAAGCCCAACTAATCCCTAGGGGTGCATAGGCCCTCGGTAAAGAGTTTCTCCCAAGTACACTGTGGTTAATTCAAGGATTTTTCCCTAGTTTAATGGCCCAAAGGAATTGTTAGCACCCAAGAGGTTTCAATCCTTGAACCTTGGAGGGTTCCCAAGACCCAAAACCCTGACCCTTGCCACCAGGCCAACCCCTTGGGGTTACATGACCGAACCATCTTAACCTGTTCTCCCTTAATTTAACTTCAAAGTGGATTTTCTATTGGCATGTAACAAGTGATAATTACTTGTATATGACGCTGATACTTTCTCTTAATATTTTTTTTTCAACAGCAACATTTATGTTCTATTCAGGATGAGTAACTCAGTTTCGTATTTGAAATCTTACTTTTTATTCTTCTTCAACTTTTTGTCAGCATGCTGAAATGTCAGATGAAAGTGTTCAACTCAAGACCTTGCAGACAATATTGATAATATTTCAGTCACGTTTACAACCTGAAAATGAGGTGAGCATTGTTCATATATGTTTCCTTCCTAGTTGGAACTAGATATCTTCATATAGCAGCCTTGAAAGTTTTGCACGGTAATTTCAGTTTGGAAGTTGGTCCACGAGTCATTAGACTCTCGTCAAACATTGGTATATCTGAATATGCTTCATTTGAATATTTAACAACAATATATCAATTGAGAAGTTAATTCGATATGTTTTGAACTCTTTTATTTATGGGTAAATTACACTGACCTCCCCTGAGGTTTTTAAAAAATATAGGGACCTCTCATGTGGTTTCAATAATTACAGTAATCTCCCTTATTTTTGCTGACAATATAAACAAGCCACCCTTTTGTTAACTAGCCATTAGACAGGTGATGAAAATTTTTGAAATCAGCATATTATGGTGACTGAATACTAAAATTACCCTTTGTTCCTTATAACCAAACAGCCCACAACATCACAAACAAACATTACTCTTCTTCATTTCCCTCCTCTCATCCTCACCCACTCCTCCACTGGTAGCGTCACTGCCATCACCTCATATTCTCTCTCTCTCTCTCTCTCTCATCCTTACCAGTTCCATGTCCTTATTATCCATTCCAAACACATTAAGGCCAAGTTTGGCAACTCTAATATAATCCATCTTTTTATCTTTTTTCCATCACATCACTTCTTTACTTTTCTACACATCTTTTCGTAAAAAGACAAAAGCTGTACTTATTTAGGTCATCCCAAACAACCCCTTATACAAAAATTGCAGGCACACAACCATTTCTCCTCTAATGTTACACCCACTTTTCTATTCCAATATATACATGCAAATATACAACCAGGAGGACTCCATATTACATTATAAGTTGTAAGAACTAGCAAACTTCATAGTAGCATGATTTGCCTTTGCTCAGAAGTAACAATTCATAAAATTTGGAAACTATAATATGCAACAAATAGAAGCAACTAGAATGGCCTTAGCATATACATACAAATATATAGATAAATATATATATATACAAATATATAAACATGGGAACAATTTGTTTAACATATAGGGCAAACTTCACTTTACCACCCTGTGGTTTGGACCGGGTGCGGATTATCCCTTGACATTCGGAAATCACCACATAACCCCCATGTGGTTTGTGGACTAAAACGCACTGTTAGCTTTTCTGTCTAAGATAGCAGAATGTGAAAGTCACGCGTCTCTATAGAGAGTGAGTCCGTTTTTATGACGAAAATGCCCTTTCTACCTCGTCAAATTTACAAAGGATGCCATTCTTTTCCTATTTCTATTTTTCAACCATTAGCAGCTGGTTATACAAACATATATGTATTCATATATACACATCATTAGATATTTATTTTTCTGGAATCATAGACATTCATATACATATATATCATTATATATATGTTTTTCTGGAATCAACATCTTCTCTCTCTCTCTCTCTCTCGTCTTTTTTTTTTTAATAATGTTTCCCAATCAAATATATGTATATATGTAAGTATATATATACATAGTGAAAAAATTGAAATCAAATAACACGATTTTGAATTTTCAATTCATCAAACACATCATCAAATCATATGGTTCATTAAACATCCCCAAAATTATATTTTACACACACATATTGAAGCCCATGGAGGCTGGATGATAATAGAAGTTGTTTTGGGTAAGTTTCACCTATTGAAGAAGATATGGTGCAGAATCGTAGATCGAGGTTAAATTTAGATGTGTTTGATCATCTTCTTGAAGAATATATATATATAGTGAATCAAAGAATATAATTTTGAATTTTTGATTCATCAAACATCACCAAATCATCTAGTTCATCAAATATCTCCAAAATTATATTTTACACACACATATATATATAGATGCACAGTGAAGATTGAAAAAAAACTTTGTATGCTCATGTTTTATCCATATATATATATATATATTTGTGTTATGTTTAAAAAAAAATGATTTTGTTTTTGCATCTGCTATGTGTATATATATATATGATTGCTAATCATTGAACACCAGATGAGATTGTATATGTATATATTTGTACACATATAAAGTATATATGACTTAGAAAATATGAGGAAGAAGAACTCCGAAAATATGAGGAAGAAGGAATATATTTCTGTTATATTCAAAACTTCTTATTTTACAAGACCAAATGACACTCCTTATATAGGAGATATTACAAACATCATTATAACCCATTATATGCTGATTGCTAATCATTGAACACCAGATGAGATTGTATATGTATATATTTGTACACATATAAAGTATATATGTATATGTATATATATGTAAAGTTTGGGCAGTGAACTGTGAAGAAGATGAAATGGAGAGAGGGAGAGAGAGAGAGAGAGAAGAAGAAGAAGAAGAAGAAGATGATGAGGGTATAATTGTCAATTTACAACTTCTGTTAACAGAAGTTAGTGTGCATTTCAATCTAGTAATCACATAGGGGCTAAGTGGTGATTTCCGAATGTCATGGGGGTAATCCGCACCCCGGTCCAAACCATAGGGGGGTAAAGTGAAGTTTGCCCTAACATATATATGTATATATATACAAATATATATATATATACACACACCTTAAAATTCAAATAGGAACTTGCTTGGATTTCTAGCAAAGAATAGAAACCCAATTTAAGTAAATCAATAGATGAGAAAAAGGGAACTGAACAAGAAGAATGACCAACACAGAACAACTGAGAAGTCATCCAAGACTCACCAACCCATCATAGCAGCAGTGATGATAACGAGATAACGAAATAAAAAATAAAAAAAATTGAGAAAAATGGTTATTGAAGTGATCAATCCACAAATTCAAACACCCAAGCCCTTGATTCTTGCAAAATCGAGCTTCAATATTATTATTTCATCACACCTAGAAGTAGATCAAGCTTTGATCTTGCTTGAATGTGCACCCCCAACCAAAAATCATGAAGAAATTGCGCAAATCAAACTTCAATCTTCAACAGCATAAGTAGATATAAGTTTGTAATTCATGAAAAGAGGTGCATCTCCTTTCCAATGAAGATTATGAGGCTACACAGTAAACCTATGAACTCAGGTTTTGCTTTTTTGTAGTCGGCAGTGCATAACATTTGTCGAAGAAGTATAACCCTCATCCCTCTCACCTTCTCGCCCTATATTTTTCTAGATCTGGCCATGGCGATGGACGAGCAAGGGCGACGGGTAGGAGAGAGGAGAGAGCGTGGCGAAGGAGAGAGGTCGCCATTGGAGGAAGGGGGTTGAGGAGAATAATTGCCAGTGGGCTTTAGGATCGCTGGAGGTAGTTGTATTGGTGGTGGCTGGTGAGATTATAGATAGGAGAGAGGAGGCAAGAGGAAAGAGAGAGAGAGAGAGAGAGAGAGAGAGGGGGGGCAGAGCATGGTGTTGGTGAGGTAGATATGAGAGATATAGGAATTAAAGGGTATTTTCGTCTTTGCGTGTTCAAATGAAAGGGCAATATGGTCATTTTGTATAATCAAGTAACGCCGTTTGTGTAAAATTGTTGGATTGGGGGAATCTTGATATTGTTAGCAAAAATAGGGGAGGTTTCTGTAATTATTGAAACCACAGGAGAGGTTCCTATATTTGTCAGAAACCTCAGGGGAGGTCACTGTAATTTACCCTTTATTTAGTTTTACAAGGAAAGAAGCCAAAAAACATCTTTATAGAAAAATCAAAGAACTTTATAGAAAAATCAAAGAAAAAGTCCTTTTGTTGAAAGTTAGCCTACAATGAAAAAAGAAAGAGGACTGGAATACATTCATTTATTATTATCACCTTTCTCTGTTTCCTTTTAAGTTCAATTTGTGATGGATTTATGCTAATTTCGAGTAGTTATCAGGCCTTGTGTGAAGATCTTTGCGGCTAGTTGTTGGAACTTTAAACATTCTTATTCTTATTATATGGTTTAAAATGCCGGCATAATCTTTATTAAGTCTTTTCAAAGAACTGGTTTCTCAGATTGGAATCTTTCATCCCATCTTTCCCAGTTGTTTTGTTCAATTTTTTGGGACATGTTTTTTCTTTCTTTGACTGGCACACATTTAAGACATGGAAGAAGATATGGCTTTATTTATTTATTTTTAAAGTTGACCTGGACTAGAAAATTTTTACTTGTCCTTCGGCCTCTTCTTTTATTATTTTTCTCTTTCCTTACTCTGGTGTGGAGTAGCTATGGGACATTCTTCCTTAACTGTTCTATAATTCTCAGGAAAATATGGCTCAGGCTCTTGGTATTTGTCTCCGGCTTCTTGAAAACAACAGATCCTCTGACAGCGTGAGAAAGTAAGTTTATCTATTAGCAAAAAAATATTAGATGTCCAGAAGCCTCTTGCTGTTTATTTTTCTCAACTGTCTCAACTAATTCTTCATTTTGCACAAAACTGCGTTAACATTGTCCCTATAGAAATTTGGCCATCTCATTTCATGTGAATCTATTTCAGTACTGCTGCAGCAACCTTCAGGCAAGCAGTAGCATTAATTTTTGATCACGTGGTTTGTGCCGAGTCACTGCCTGCTGGCAAGTTTGGTTCTGGAGGATACAGTTCTCGAAGTAGTTCAGTTACTAGTGATATTAATCGTAGCATTAATCGTGCAGAGTATGTGATCTCTCACTAACATTGAATTTATTTTCCATGTCATTTTTGTCTGTATCAGTTAATGTTTAGTGCATGTATATTGAAGAATTGTTCCCTACAATATCGAAGCCAAAATTGAATTGTGTGGGTAGGCATGTATAAACTTGTTCTGTATTTCTGTGTTTATTTAATTACTATTTGTTACGAATTACCTGCTCTTGGTTGGGTAGTCTGCATACACTTTAATGCTCACTCTCTTGGCATGAATTTCATAACTGACCCCTAGCTTCAACAGGTCACTTGAGCATGAATTTATATCTGGAGGGCAATCATTGATGAGGGAGACCCTTACTACAGCTGGAAAGCATGGGCTTCGATTGCTCGAAGACCTGACAGCTCTAGCTGCAGGTGGATCTGTATGTGCTGATTCAAAATTAGTAAACTGTTCCCCATTGATGCATTCCAGCATGATATCCTTATCTGCATTATTCCTAGGAATTGTACTTGCTTTGTTAATAGTTCATATTTTTTGTGCAGACATCAATAAAAATGTCATTATAGTGCTGGCAATTGACCTTTTGTTCTTCATATTTTCATACTCATGAATGTTATGCCTGCTTCTACATCTCAGGCAATTTGGTTACGTGTCAGTTATATTCAACGGACATTTGCACTTGATATACTCGAGTGAGGAATCTTTCTTCCTAGTAATTTTATATTTCCTAACTTTTCATTCTTCTGAATGTTATTATCACGTATCACACTCACATCTAAGCTGATTTGTGCCTTCTATATACTGAATGCTCTATCTCGTTGAAGTGCTTTAGCAGCACACTTCTTTTAAAAAATCATACACGCCGCATAATTGGTGACACTTCTTTTTGATAATATTTGACTTGTTAGTCATGCAGTAATATATATACACTCCAAAAAGTTTCATCCAAGGTTTCTACAAGTTGCTATTATTTTTGTGTGTGATTAGTATAGATTGCTATGTACCTATCATTTAAACCAATAAATAAATAAAATTGTGATGAAGATATACACTTGCAAAATATCCGTATTTTCGTGATTGCGGTGGGTCCTATTTGTTAGTGTTTTATTCTTTGCATATATCACACGAAAACAGGAAATTAATAAAACATAGATGTCTACGCATTTATGTTTCTATTTTATGGCTGTGTCCTCTGTCTCTTTACTTTTGTGAGTTGGCATGTCTTTGTGTCAAGACATGTGTCTTTGTCCCCAGATCATAGATCTGGAGGTTATCTGAACTACAGAGGTTATACACATGCATATGACAATTTATTTAATTAGATGGTTCAGTACATGTAGTAAACTAGCAAAGTAATTGAAGAAAACCCAAGAAAAATTGATCCGAGGATGAAGGTAAAGAAAAACTCTGCTACAAGCTATGATAAAAAAATTATTGTTGGGCAGCAGAAAGAGGTTTCTTTAAAGGCTGATGTAGTTAATATTTGTGCGAGATTCATGATAGAGTTTAGGGTTTTTATGGAGTGTAGGTTTTGATTAATAAAGGAAGGATCAACTGGTGAGCTTGCTGGGGGAGAGGGTGGGTGGGTTTGGACTCTAAAAGCGCCTGAATCATTCTCTGGATTTTACTCTTTTTTTTTTTTTCTTTTTTACCGGGTCAGTCTTGTTGGCCGCAGCATCGCTAATTAAAGCAGAAATTTCAATTGATTCACCATTACCTTTTTTCTTAAGCATGACGCTCCTTCGGCTCTCTTCCCTTCTGACTTCGGCAAATACTTCGCCAATGGATGGGAGAGGAGGTCTGCCAATAATTCTTCCTCGCACTTCATCGAACTCAATGTTGAGGCCGGCAAGAAATTGCTATAGGAACATCAAGGTCGGAAATAGAAGGAATAGGATTACCTAAAATTTCGATGCCAGAACTCGGGTGGACATTCGGGTCATTAGGATGGACATTTGGGTCATTATTCCTCAGATGAAATCGCTTCCTAGTATAAACCTGAAGCTCAGGATTTAGATCATTTTGTAGTACTTCTCCCCCTAAACAAGAATCTTCTTGACTAGGCACTATCTACCACCAACACCACTATCATATTCTATACATATCACTATCTACCACCAACACCACTATCATATTCTATACATGCCACTATCTACCACCAACGCCACTATCATATGCCACTATCTTATTATATGCATTAACACAAATTTCCAGCAATATGTATATGTATATATATGTAAAGTTTGGGCAGTGAACTGTGAAGAAGATGAAATGGAGAGAGAGAGAGAGAGAGAGAGAGAGAGAAGAAGAAGAAGAAGAAGAAGAAGAAGAAGAAGATGAGGGTATAATTGTCAATTTACAACTTCTGTTAACAGAAGTTAGTGTGCATTTCAATCTAGTAATCACATAGGGGTTATGTGGTGATTTCCGAATGTCATGGGGGTAATCCGCACCCCGGTCCAAACCATAAGGGGGTAAAGTGAAGTTTGCCCTAACATATATATGTATATATATACAAATATATATATACACACACCTTAAAATTCAAATAGGAACTTGCTTGGATTTCTAGCAAAGAATAAAAACCCAATTTAAGCAAATCAATAGATGAGAAAAATGGAACTGAACAAGAAGAATGACCAAAACAGAACAATCGAGAAGTCATCCAAGACTCACCAACTCATCATAGCAGCAGTGACGATAACGAGATAACGAAATAAAAAATAAAAAAAATTGAGAAAAATGGTTATTGAAGTGATCAATCCACAAATTCAAACACCCAAGCCCTTGATTCTTGCAAAATCGAGCTTCAATATTATTATTTCATCACACCCAGAAGTAGATCAAGCTTTGATCTTGCTTGAATGTGCACCCCCAACCAAAAATCATGAAGAAATTACGCAAATCAAACTTCAATCTTCAACAGCATAAGTAGATGTAAGCTTGTAATTCATGAAAAGAGGTGCATCTCCTTTCCAATGAAGATTATGAGGCTACACAGTAAACCTATGGACTCAGGTTTTGCTTTTTTGTAGTCAACAGTGCATAACATTTGTCGAAGAAGTATAACCCTCATCCCTCTCACCTTCTCGCCCTATATTTTTCTAGATCTGGCCATGGCGATGGACAAGCAAGGGCGACGGGAAGGAGAGAGGAGAGAGCGTGACGAAGGAGAGAGGTCGCCATTGGAGGAAGGGGGTTGAGGAGAATAATTGCCGGTGGGCTTTGGGATTGCTGGAGGTAGTTGTATTGGTGGTGGCTGGTGAGATTATAGGTAGGAGAGAGGAGGCAAGAGGAAAGAGAGAGAGAGAGGGGGGACAGAGCATGGTGTTGGTGAGGTAGATATGAGAGAAATAGGAATTAAAGGGTATTTTCGTCTTTGCGTGTTCAAATGAAAGGGCAATATGGTCATTTTGTATAATCAAGTAACGCCGTTTGTGTAAAATTGTTGGATTGGGGGAATCTTGATATTGTTAGCAAAAATAGGGGAGGTTTCTGTAATTATTGAAACCACAGGAGAGGTTCCTATATTTGTCAGAAACCTCAGGGGAGGTCACTGTAATTTACCCTTTATTTAGTTTTACAAGGAAAGAAGCCAAAAAACATCTTTATAGAAAAATCAAAGAACTTTATAGAAAAATCAAAGAAAAAGTCCTTTTGTTGAAAGTTAGCCTACAATGAAAAAAGAAAGAGGACTGGAATACATTCATTTATTATTATCACCTTTCTCTGTTTCCTTTTAAGTTCAATTTGTGATGGATTTATGCTAATTTCGAGTAGTTATCAGGCCTTGTGTGAAGATCTTTGCGGCTAGTTGTTGGAACTTTAAACATTCTTATTCTTATTATATGGTTTAAAATGCCGGCATAATCTTTATTAAGTCTTTTCAAAGAACTGGTTTCTCAGATTGGAATCTTTCATCCCATCTTTCCCAGTTGTTTTGTTCAATTTTTTGGGACATGTTTTTTCTTTCTTTGACTGGCACACATTTAAGACATGGAAGAAGATATGGCTTTATTTATTTATTTTTAAAGTTGACCTGGACTAGAAAATTTTTACTTGTCCTTCGGCCTCTTCTTTTATTATTTTTCTCTTTCCTTACTCTGGTGTGGAGTAGCTATGGGACATTCTTCCTTAACTGTTCTATAATTCTCAGGAAAATATGGCTCAGGCTCTTGGTATTTGTCTCCGGCTTCTTGAAAACAACAGATCCTCTGACAGCGTGAGAAAGTAAGTTTATCTATTAGCAAAAAAATATTAGATGTCCAGAAGCCTCTTGCTGTTTATTTTTCTCAACTGTCTCAACTAATTCTTCATTTTGCACAAAACTGCGTTAACATTGTCCCTATAGAAATTTGGCCATCTCATTTCATGTGAATCTATTTCAGTACTGCTGCAGCAACCTTCAGGCAAGCAGTAGCATTAATTTTTGATCACGTGGTTTGTGCCGAGTCACTGCCTGCTGGCAAGTTTGGTTCTGGAGGATACAGTTCTCGAAGTAGTTCAGTTACTAGTGATATTAATCGTAGCATTAATCGTGCAGAGTATGTGATCTCTCACTAACATTGAATTTATTTTCCATGTCATTTTTGTCTGTATCAGTTAATGTTTAGTGCATGTATATTGAAGAATTGTTCCGTACAATATCGAAGCCAAAATTGAATTGTGTGGGTAGGCATGTATAAACTTGTTCTGTATTTCTGTGTTTATTTATTTACTATTTGTTATGAATCACCTGCTCTTGGTTGGGTAGTCTGCATACACTTTAATGCTCACTCTCTTGGCATGAATTTCATAACTGACCCCTAGCTTCAACAGGTCACTTGAGCATGAATTTATATCTGGAGGGCAATCATTGATGAGGGAGACCCTTACTACAGCTGGAAAGCATGGGCTTCGATTGCTCGAAGACCTGACAGCTCTAGCTGCAGGTGGATCTGTATGTGCTGATTCAAAATTAGTAAACTGTTCCCCATTGATGCATTCCAGCATGATATCCTTATCTGCATTATTCCTAGGAATTGTACTTGCTTTGTTAATAGTTCATATTTTTTGTGCAGACATCAATAAAAATGTCATTATAGTGCTGGCAATTGACCTTTTGTTCTTCATATTTTCATACTCATGAATGTTATGCCTGCTTCTACGTCTCAGGCAATTTGGTTACGTGTCAGTTATATTCAACGGACATTTGCACTTGATATACTCGAGTGAGGAATCTTTCTTCCTAGTAATTTTATATTTCCTAAATTTTCATTCTTCTGAATGTTATTATCATGTATCACACTCACATCTAAGCTGATTTGTGCCTTCTATATACTGAATGCTCTATCTCGTTGAAGTGCTTTAGCAGCACACTTTTTTTAAAAAATCATACACACCGCATAATTGGTGACACTTCTTTTTGGTAATATTTGACTTGTTAGTCATGCAGTAATATATATACACTTCAAAAAGTTTCATCCAAGGTTTCTACAAGTTGCTATTATTTTTGTGTGTGATTAGTATAGATTGCTATGTACCTATCATTTAAACCAATAAATAAATAAAATTGTGATGAAGATATACACTTGCAAAATATCCGTATTTTCGTGATTGCGGTGGGTCCTATTTGTTAGTGTTTTATTCTTTGCATATATCACACGAAAACAGGAAATTAATAAGACATAGATGTCTACGCATTTATGTTTCTATTTTATGGCTGTGTCCTCAGTCTCTTTACTTTTGTGAGTTGGCATGTCTTTGTGTCAAGACATGTGTCTTTGTCCCCAGATCATAGATCTGGAGGTTATCTGAACTACAGAGGTTATACACATGCATATGACAATTTATTTAATTAGATGGTTCAGTACATGTAGTAAACTAGCAAAGTAATTGAAGAAAACCCAAGAAAAATTGATCCGAGGATGAAGGTAAAGAAAAACTCTGCTACAAGCTATGATAAAAAAATTATTGTTGGGCAGCAGAAAGAGGTTTCTTTAAAGGCTGATGTAGTTAATATTTGTGCGAGATTCATGATAGAGTTTAGGGTTTTTATGGAGTATAGGTTTTGATTAATAAAGGAAGGATCAACTGGTGAGCTTGCTGGGGGAGAGGGTGGGTGGGTTTGGACTCTAAAAGCGCCTGAATCATTCTCTGGATTTTACTCTTTTTTTTTTTTTCTTTTTTTTATCGACATTCTCTGGATATTACTTGGAGGGCTGCCCTGTGTTTCCTTTTCTTTTTGGGGTTGGTTGTTCAAGGAAGGAGAGATGTCAGATTTGTGGGATGGTTGAAAGGGATTTGTTTGTGTGGTTTAAGGGCTTCATAGGATCAGGAAAGCAAAGAGAACAAGAAAAAGAAGAGACTGAGCGGCACATCTAGGTTACCTTAGGAATCATGGTAAGTGCTAGGGCTGGAGATGATTTGGGCCAAGATTTTGCTGGACTTGCACTAAATTAAAATCAAAGTTGTATTGGCCTGATCCTGGTCATGACATCAGGCTTGAATTTTCAACCCCAAGCCTGCCTAGTACTCAAATTGACCCAAAGGGCCCTAACTTTGGAGAGCTGTTTGTTACTTGTAATCTGTTGTCTTTTTCTCTTTTCCTTTTCTTGAGGACTACTTGTCCTTCAAATATTTCTGGCCTCTATATATTTCTGCATTACCTTTCTTTCTTTTTTTTTCTTTTTTTTTTCCTTTCTCTAATAAAATTTCTTCGTTGCTAATAAAAAAGAAAATTATAACAGCTCCAAGTTGGTGCCACTCTGCAATTTACCAATATCTTATTTTTGTTACTAGTTGAGAATTTTTTTTTCTTAAAGCTTCTTTTGACTTATGCCAAAAGTGATCTCTAATAAAATTTCTTCGTTGCTAATAAAAAAGAAAATTATAACAGCTCCAAGTTGGTGCCACTCTGCAATTTACCAATATCTTATTTTTGTTACTAGTTGAGAATTTTTTTTTCTTAAAGCTTCTTTTGACTTATGCCAAAAGTGAAAATAAAAGCATGGCACTTAGATCTTTTCCTTATTTTGATGTCTTAGTTTGGGTTTGGGAGGGTCAATTGTTGTTAGTGAATGTCTCTGTTATGGTCCTAGGTTTTTTAAGTTGTCTTCAAACTACCTCTGACACCAATCTTGTGGTAAAAAAATTCCATTAATAAGAAGTCTATTAGTCAAAAAGCTTTTTGAAGTAGGATCCAAAGCATATTCTTCATCTCTTTGATCTTCATATCTTCTATATTTAACTGGTTTATAATCCATTTTTCCTTTTGGAAACATGTTTCCATATTTCAGATTTTCAATATGTCCACTGTCATACTCATATAGGTACACACATCCATGCCTATGCAAAAGGATATATATACATTGTGAGAGGCCTGTTTGAATGTTCTCTTGAATATGAATGCTTCATTTACTTTACTTAAGAATTAGCATTTGAATGTAGAGCTCATCATCATGAAGTGAGCCGTTTGAGTAAATAGTAGCCGTCTCAAAATGATGGTTAAGATTCTGAATTTTGTCATTTCAACTAAACCCAAAAGTTACAGCAGGCAAGTATGATGAAGCCTCAGGCTTCCTAACTCCATGTAAGATGATGGGTTCTATATGAAAATTGTTATGCAAATTGAAATAATGGCATTCAAATTGATGGGACACCCAAAGAGGCCCTAAGGGTTTGTTTAATAGCCTTGATATAGTGTAAAATAAATTGATAGAGAGAGATACAGAGAGAATGAATTATGTATTGATTGATATTATTGATTGATGTATGTTTATTGATATTACAAATGGTGAGTGACTCATTATATAGGAGAGGGTGAGTGTAGTAGGTGAGGAGTAGGTGAAGTGGAGGTGGTAGTGGTGTAGTGGGTTAGGTTTAGTGGAGTAGGTTTAAGTGGGGGAAGGTTTAGTGGAGTAGGTGAGGTGGTAGTGGTGTAGTGGGTTAGGTTTAGTGGAGTAGGTGAGATGGTAGTGGTGTAGTGGGTTAGGTTTAGTGGAGTAGGTGAGATGGTAGTGGTGTAGTGGGTTAGGTTTAGTGGAGTAGGTGAGATGGTAGTGGTGTAGTGGGTTAGGTTTAGTGGAGTAGGTGAGATGGTAGTGGTGTAGTGGGTTAGGTTTAGTGGAGTAGGTGAGATGGTAGTGGTGTAGTGGGTTAGGTTTAGTGGAGTAGGTGAGATGGTAGTGGTGTAGTGGGTTAGGTTTAGTGGAGTAGGTGAGATGGTAGTGGTGTAGTGGGTTAGGTTTAGTGGAGTAGGTGAGATGGTAGTGGTGTAGTGGGTTAGGTTTAGTGGAGTAGGTGAGATGGTAGTGGTGTAGTGGGTTAGGTTTAGTGGAGTAGGTGAGATGGTAGTGGTGTAGTGGGTTAGGTTTAGTGGAGTAGGTGAGATGGTAGTGGTGTAGTGGGTTAGGTTTAGTGGAGTAGGTGAGATGGTAGTGGTGTAGTGGGTTAGGTTTAGTGGAGTAGGTGAGATGGTAGTGGTGTAGTGGGTTAGGTTTAGTGGAGTAGGTGAGATGGTAGTGGTGTAGTGGGTTAGGTTTAGTGGAGTAGGTGAGATGGTAGTGGTGTAGTGGGTTAGGTTTAGTGGAGTAGGTGAGATGGTAGTGGTGTAGTGGGTTAGGTTTAGTGGAGTAGGTGAGATGGTAGTGGTGTAGTGGGTTAGGTTTAGTGGAGTAGGTGAGATGGTAGTGGTGTAGTGGGTTAGGTTTAGTGGAGTAGGTGAGATGGTAGTGGTGTAGTGGGTTAGGTTTAGTGGAGTAGGCAAACCCCCCAAAAAAAATTCTTTATAATTTATTTTTTAATTTTTATATGATTATGTTAGCATGTCTAATTTATTTTTTAAAAACTATTCAAGTTAAAATTTACATATGCTTCTACAAGTATAATAATTAAAAATAAATTTATACGTCTAACTCCAATAATTTTTTTTTTACCACAAGTGTAATATGGATTTATGACATATAAAGTCATTAATTAGTAAAATAAAATGTAAAAAACTCAGTTTATAATGATTTAAAAATATGAAATATATTGAATCATACTTAAAAATTTATAAAAATTGATCAATATTTATTTTAAAACCCAATAAATATGATTATGGAAAAAAAAATATGCGTATCGGTAAATTTTTTTCAAATTGTGCGAAAAATAAAAAAATTCACGGTTCCAGTTACCGCAATCGTTACGCTACGGCCTTTACACCCCGCAACCGCAACCGCGGCACCGCCACCGTTACAGCGACCGCAACCGCTTTTCAAAACCCTGGTGTAGTGGGTTAGGTTTAGTGGAGTAGGTGAGGTGGTAGTGGAGTAGTGGGTTAGGTTTAGTGGAGTAGGTTTAAGTGGGTGAAGTAGGTGCTCTTGAATATGAATGCTTCATTTACTTTACTTAAGAATTAGCATTTGAATGTAGAGCTCATCATCATGAAGTGAGCCGTTCGAGTAAATAGTAGCCGTCTCAAAATGATGGTTAAGATTCTGAATTTTGTCATTTCAACTAAACCCAAAAGTTACAGCAGGCAAGTATGATGAAGCCTCAGGCTTCCTAACTCCATGTAAGATGATGGGTTCTATATGAAAATTGTTATGCAAATTGAAATAATGGCATTCAAATTGACGGGACACCCAAAGAGGCCCTAAGGGTTTGTTTAATAGCCTTGATATAGTTATACCTTGGCACCTATAATAGGCATATAATGAATCTGTCCCTAGCATTTGGTTTGTGTCTAGAATGCTTAATTTGTTGCTTAATAAGGGGAACAAGTTGTTAGAAAATGTCTTTGTAATATTTGAATGCAAGTATTTTCGTACTTAGCCTAAATATTACACTTCTTCTTTATATTTTAGAAAATATTATATAATTTTATTTGGTGCACTGTTATGCAGGTTCATTCTGTCTAATTATGTGGTTGTGTTCAGAACATTGGTTCCATATGAACAGGTGATTATAACTATATCATGAGTTGAGAACATTTGCATGTATCCATGCATGTTAAGCTTGTTAGTTAACTAGTAAGAGCTTAAGTTGTGAGAGAGGGTATAGATTAGGTATTTTTGTCTACAACTTATTTCATTGTCTACAAGATAGCATGATAATGCAACAGGTTTTGCGCCACCAGATATGTTCACTTCTCATGACTTCACTTCGCACCAATGCCGAGGTGATTTCTTTGTTGAAAAGTCCGAGTCCTTTTTATCTGACTATGCTTTAATGTATTATCTTTTGAGATATCTTTATCATATTCTGTTTTAAATCAGCTTGAAGGAGAGGCAGGAGAGCCTTATTTTCGTCGCTTGGTCTTGCGATCGGTTTCCCACTTAATAAGGTTTTACAGTTCAACTCTTATCACTGAATGTGAGGTATGATCAATTTACGATTGTTGTTGCTCTATTTAGCTGTAAAATTACATAATTGTATGTTGAAAAGGATACCAAATTGCAAAAGTCATAGTCATCTTTTATTGTGCCATAGTTTAGTTGGACTGTTTGATTTTGCAGTTTGGAAATTAATCGATTTCCAAAGTCTAGAAGTGTTCATAATTGTTATCCTAGTAATTACAACCCAAGTAAGCAAAGATAGAGAAACTAAGATGCACGGAGACATGGTTACGGATGCAGACACGAACACGAACACGAACATGAACACGGACATGGACACGGACACGGACACGGACACGGGATATGGTGATTCAAAAAAATGGGCACACAGACATGGCGGGGGACACGGCAATAAAATATTTTTTCATATATTTTTATTTACTATGTTGATTAATATTACATTCACGAACAATCAAAATTAACAAAAACTAATATTTATTCAACATAAAAAAAATCACTTTTAAATTATTTCTTATCATTTATATCTTTTTTATGGATAATCTATTAAGTATTTAAATCTAAGCAAAAATGAATAAACATTTAATATCCAACATCTATCAAAAGTACTAAAGAAAAGGGGAGGAAAAAGAAACTAGTTGGCATGTACCAAGCATGTCCCCAAATTGTTCCCTGAAAAAAAAATTAATTAAATAAAGGGACACACCATGTGTGTCCTCACTGTGTTCACGTGTCCAACACGGCTATGGCACCTATTTTGAACTGTCGGTGCTTCATATTAGAGAAATGATAAGAGGTATCAACATTGCAATTTATGGTGGTTCGACTTAACCCAAGTGTACATCCACTCTCCCTAAGTATCCTTCTTTGGAATTCCTCCACTATCTTCAAGTAGCGCTACAACCCTTTAGAAGGATAGCTAAACCTTGTTGCTTGGACCATGAAATACCTATTCTTTTCCCGTTGCTGTGGTTGCATCTATGTAGCTGCATCTTTGGATTCTAAATCATATAAGAATATTTTATTTTTTTGAATGCAGGTTTTCCTCAGCATGTTAGTGAAGGTTATATCTCTTGATTTGCCATTATGGCATCGCATTCTTGTGCTTGAACTTTTGCGGGTAAATCCAACAACCTGGGAAGCAGCAAGTCCTTTTTCTTGTCACACACACACAAACACAGAGACTTATCAATAATTTATCTTCTAGGTTGCAATTTGTAAGATCTGCATCTAATATTTAGGAGCTTGCAAGTTGACAGGGTTTTTGTGTGGAGGCACGGACTTTGCGAATTCTTTTCCAAACCTTCGACATGTAAGCTTCATAGCTCTTGCTTATGCTCTTGTTTTGTGCTAGTACTCAACAAGTTAATGATGTGTCAGTTCAAAATTCTTACAAAACATGATTTGGTTTCCATGTGCCTAATGGTTTCTAATTGTAGAATTGACTAATCTACATATTAAGGTTTTATTTTCTCTGGATGAACATTCAATATCCGGGCCATTACAAATAATTATGGAATGTCTCAAGACTTATTATCTATTCTAGGGATTGATCTTGTATTTTTATTTGACATTGCTGGTCATAATGGTGTGGAGTTTGTTTTATCCACTGTCCCCCTTAGGTAATCCTTCTCCATTTTCCGTTAAAGAGTTTATTATGTAGGTGCGTTCATTTTGTGAGGAGTTGTTATTGATGTCTACTTCTTCTTGTTATTTTTAGAGAATACTAGATTAGGGAATGATTAGGATATCATCCCCTATTTATATTAATGAATTTAATAATTACAAGGGAGCCCTAAGGCACAAAATAATTACAAAATAAGAACCCAAATAACAATATATTATTCTAACACTCCCCCTCAAACTGGTGCGAAGATATCTCTCATGCCCAGCTTACCTAAGATGTCATGAAATGGCTTACTCCGAACTCCCTTGGTGAAGATGTCAGCAAATTGTTCACCAGACTGCACAAAGGGAGTAATGAGTTTCTCCTTAATAAAGTAGTGATCAATCTCAACATGCTTTGTCCTGTCATGTTGAACCGGATTGTGAGCAATGTTGATAGTGGCCTTATTATCACAGTATAACCGCATGGAGTCCATCTGATCAATACCTAGATCACTCAACAATAACTTGATCCATAAGAGCTCACACACCCCTTGTGTCATAGGTCTAAACTCAGTTTCTGCACTTGATCTGGCAACCACATTTTGTTTCTTACTCTTCCAAGTAACTAAGTTGCCTCCAAAAAAGGTGTAATACCCTGAAGTCGATCTCCTATCAGTCACTGATCCAGCCCAGTCAGCATCTGTATAGGCTTCCACACGAAGATGATCATACTTTGAAAAATATAGACCCTTATCAGGAGTAGACTTCAAGTACCTCAAAATCCTCATAACAGCCCCGAAGTGAATCTAACGAGGAGCATGCATAAACTGGCTAACCACACTGACAGCAACAGCAATATCAGGACGGGAGTGAGATAGGTAAATGAGCTTACCTACTAATCACTGATAGCTCCCCCTGTCAACAGCTACTCCTCCTTCATCCTCCCCCAGTTTCTGATTGGGTTCCAGTGGAGTGTCACAGGCCTTGCACCCAACCATCCCAGTTTCCTTCAACAGATCAAGCACATATTTTCTCTGTGAGATAAATATCCCATCCTTGGAGCGAGCAACTTCAATTCCCAAAAAATACTTCAAGCTCCCCAAGTCTTTGATTTCAAACTCACTGGCTAAATGTTTCTTCAACAGAGGAATTTCATCACTATCATCACCCGTAAGAACTATGTCATCTACATAAACAATGAGTGTTGTAGTCTTACCAAGTGAGAAATGTTTCACAAACAAGGTGTGATCTGCCTGACTCTGTTTGAAGCCATATTTAAGCATAGCCTGAGTGAATCTCTCAAACCAAGTCCTTGGAGACTGTTTGAGACCATATAATGACTTTCGAAGCCTACATACTTTGCCTTTTGTCTGATGATCCTCAAAATCAGGAGGAATGTCCATATATACCTCTTCTTCGAGGTCACCATGGAGAAAGGCATTCTTTACATCAAACTGATGAAGTGGCCAATCTAGATTAGCTACTATAGAGAGAAGTACTCTGACTAAATTCATCTTAGCCACAGGTGCAAAGGTCTCCTGATAGTCAACGCCATATGTCTGAGTGAACCCTTTGGCCACAAGTCTCGCCTTGTAACACTCAATAGAACCATTCGCTTTGTGTTTCACAGTATACACCCATTTGCATCCAACAAGTTGTTTGCCCTTAAGTAACTCAGTCAATTCCCAAGTGCCATTCTTCTTAGGTGCTTTCATTTCATCAATCATGGCAAGTTTCCACTCAGAGGTAGCAAGAGCATCTTGAAAATGGTTAGGAATGCTAACAGAGGAAACATTTGACACAAACGCTCTATATGAGGACGACAAATGAGAGTAAGACACAAAATTTGAGATAGGATGTTGAGTACAAGATCAATGGACTCAAGAGATTCAAAGTTACCTGAACTCTCATCAAAAGCAGGAGATGGCAGTGAAGGAGCAGAAGTGGTCTCTTGTATCCAAGTACCTTTCTGTCTGTTTTTGTCGTGGACATAAACTTGTCTTTCCTTATCCTTGGTGACATTGGGTTCTGTAGTCCCAATAAGAGGTGGTGGTGCAAGAACAACTGGCTCCAACATAGGAATCACAGGAATCACTTCACACCAAGGCTCCACCGGAAGGGAGGACTGGGACACCGGAAAAGACAAGAAATAGGACTGGGACTCAAAGAAGGTGACATCCATGGACACAAACCACTTACGAAAATGAGGGTGGTAACACTTATATCCTTTTTGAGTAGGAGAGTACTCAAGGAAAACACATTTGAAGGAACGAGGGTCCAACTTACCACGAGTAAGAGAGTGATTATGGACAAAACAGACAGAGCCAAATATTTGGGAGGAATAGAAAATAAGGACAGGGAACTAAGGAGGACTTGAAGAGGAGCTTGTTTTTGCTAGACTTGAGTAGGAAGACGATTAATAAGATGGGCAGCAGTGAGAACAGCGTCGCCCCAGCAAGATCGAGGCACACTCATGGAAAAACACATGCACCGAGCCATGTCAAGAAGATGGCGATTCTTGTGTTCCATCACCCCATTTTGTTGATCCATCACTCCATTTTGTTGAGGGGTATTGGTGATGGAGGTCTGATGGATAGAATACTAGATTAGGGAATGATTAGGATATCATCTCCTATTTATATTAATGAATTTAATAATTACAAGGGAGCCCTAAGGCACATAATAATTACAAAATAAGAACCCAAATAACAATATATTATTCTAACACTTGTGTGTTACCATATTGTTTTTATGCCATGCCAGATAAGTGTGGACATACTGGCAGACCAGGTTTTAGTTGATAAAAAGAGAGAGAATTTTTCAAAAGCAAAAAGGGTAAGAGGGTGGGGACTGAGTGATATGTTTCATATTCAGGAAATGAATCTGCTTCTTATGTAAGCCGTTGTAACTTGTGAACTGTAGTTTGGTGTGAGCTAAGTGTTAGCTTGTATATGTTTGAATTATCAATATCATACTAAGAAGAAACCACCTAGTTTTTACTTAATGCTATTTGGTATGACTGACTATCAACCTGAGCCTCCCTTGTCGTTGCAGAATGTTAATTATAATTCTTTGCAATCATTTGACAGCAAAAAGTGGACAGGTCTCAAATTGATCTGGAAGACAAAGATATATTCTATTTACAGAGTTACGATCTGCTATTCTTTCCATGCTGGACTCACGTTATTGAGTAAAAAATTAAAAAACTAGTGCAGGGTCAAGAGTCACCCCACTGACTAGAAGCTCTGGAGATTAAAATAAAAAAAATAATAAAAAAGGGTTAAAAATATCTCATTTTATTGCTGATTGTGCTAGAGTATCTAGGCGGCTCACAAGGAGGATTAGAGATCGAGTATAATGGATTCAGCACTCACTGATTTGAAGCTGGAAATGGTAGTTTATGCTTTGTAGCAGCTTTTTTGAATGTTCTAGTGTGGGAATGAAATATAATTGGTTGTAGTGGAGACTTTTCATTGAACTCTAGATATACCGATTTATTGGCTAATCACCTATCTCTGCCATTGTTCCTTATCATGTTCAACCTACGTATAGGTATCTAGAAACCCTTCATTGTCTGATGGAATCAAACTGCTTAAAGTTGTCTAAAAATTATATTAAAAATACTTACCAAAGAGAGAAACACCATGACCTTCTCCAATGTCTGCTCCACTATCTGGGCCACTCCACACATAGGATTCAACTTTCATTGGTGACACTTGTCCTTTGATTGATGCAAGATCCCCATTTTGACCCTGCCACATGCCATTACCTGAGTAGTCCATCTGTCGACAGAATCCAACAAAAATGGGTGCAATCAATTTCATTTGCTGATATTTGATGACATGATTGATCTTCTATATCTAGCCAAAAGTATGCTTCTTTACATGAATACTTCACAAGTAGTGTGTTGTGTGCTTTATATCTCCCCAATGTGCTGTATGCTTGTGCTTCTCTCTCTCTCTCTCTCTCTCTCTCTCTCTGCTACCATGCCATTGTATGATGTTGTAAGGGGATGCTACTTTTGACAAATGTAATCATGTGTGCAGAGAAATTGATTTGGAAATTTTTGTTTCAGACTGACGATGAAAAAGAATTATAATCTGTGAAGAAAATTATCTTTTCAGAGAGTAGTATTGGTTATAATGACTTGACCAGTTTCTCTTAAATTTTTTGTTAGAAAGAAGATAAAAAAAGGCTTCCCCTTCTCAATTTTTCTTTTGGAAAAATGAGGGGAAAGAAAATCTTCAGTTTATTTCCTTTTACTTTCTTTGCCTATTGTTTTAAGCCATTGCTTCTTCCTTGTAGGAATCCCAAGAACACAAATGTCGTGGATGGTATGGTAAAAGCTCTTGCTCGGGTTGTTTCAAGTGTACAGGTTAAAGATATGGCTGTTAATCATCTATTGATCCTTCATTCATTTGTTTGTTACCCTAGTCATGTGGTTAGATCATCATGGTGATATTAACGTGAACAACTTGACTTTCATAAAAAATGTTGAGTTGATTGTACATAATGCTCTTAAGTGTTTGTCATGTATGGAAGCTTTGATGGCAGCCTTTTGAATGGTTTTGTGATGGGAAAATGTTATATAGAGTTTGCGGGCGTTGGGAGAATTGGGAGAAGGAGACTAAGGGTATGTTTGGTTTGTGTTTGAGAGATGTGTTTTAGAGATAAAAAGTACGAAAAGTTGTTTGGTTTGGTTTTTTTCAAAAGATGTTTTGGAAAATTATTTTGAGAGAGAGTTTTGGAAAAAGTGATTGATTTGATGTGTGTGTGAGAGAGATTTGTTTGGAAAACTTGTTTGGTTTACAAGTTTTGAGAAATTTTTTTGGGAAAATTTGTTTGGTTTGATTATTTTTGAAAACTTATTTGTAGAGAAAATTTCTCAAAAATTTTTCAGAAATACAAACCAAACGAACCCTAAGTCATTGGTTGTGCCCTAACTTAATCATTTAGCGACAAATAGAAAATTTTCGAACCATATCTTTTCCACCATTCAATCACTTCACCCTATGGTCTCTCTCTCTCTCTCCCTCTCTCTCTCTCTCTCTCTCTCTCACACACACACACACACACACACACACACACTAAGTGTTAGCTTGTATATGTTTGAATTATCAATATCATACTAAGAAGAAACCACCTAGTTTTTACTTAATGCTATTTGGTATGCTATTTGGTATGACTGACTATCAACCTGAGCCTCCCTTGTCGTTGCAGAATGTTAATTATAATTCTTTGCAATCATTTGACAGCAAAAAGTGGACAGGTCTCAAATTGATCTGGAAGACAAAGATATATTCTATTTACAGAGTTACGATCTGCTATTCTTTCCATGCTGGACTCACGTTATTGAGTAAAAAATTAAAAAACTAGTGCAGGGTCAAGAGTCACCCCACTGACTAGAAGCTCTGGAGATTAAAATAAAAAAAATAATAAAAAAGGGTTAAAAATATCTCATTGTATTGCTGATTGTGCTAGAGTATCTAGGCAGCTCACAAGGAGGATTAGAGATCGAGTATAATGGATTCAGCACTCACTGATTTGAAGCTGGAAATGGTAGTTTATGCTTTGTAGCAGCTTTTTTGAATGTTCTAGTGTAGGAATGAAATATAATTGGTTGTAGTGGAGACTTTTCATTGAACTCTAGATATACCGATTTATTGGCTAATCACCTATCTCTGTCATTGTTCCTTATCATGTTCAACCTACGTATAGGTATCTAGAAACCCTTCATTGTCTGATGGAATCAAACTGCTTAAAGTTGTCTAAAAAATATATTAAAAATACTTACCAAAGAGAAAAGTATTTGAGAATTTAAACCTTGTAATTATTGTCAATAAGATTATTGCCTGACACTTATTTTCTTCCGGAACCCCATGCGAAGCTCAGGATTTCAAAATGTTGAAAGATTGTTGCAGCAAACTAAAGCTAGCCCAAACGTGCTTAAAATTCCAACAAAGGCCTTTTGGAAGCTGGAGATTCACACCTTGTTAAATTATTGATATTTATGTTAGTAAAAATTATGCTTTCTCCCAAATCGACAGGAATTAAACAACAATTTTAACTAAACAATCAAACAAGAATAACCAAAACAATTGTAGAATTGGTTCAAATGCCTCAAAAGAATGAGGACTTCTTTGGAACAACTGAAAGTAACAACGTAAAAAAAGCAAACACAAAGTAATTTTAGAATGAAACTACTGAAGTTCACCCAGTTACAAAATGTAAATTACAGAAGAAACTGCTTCTAAGTTACAATAAACTACTCCTAAGCCTAAAAGCTATGTGTTGTTAAGTTGTTGATGCCCCTTCAAATCTCTAGCTTTTATAGTTGTCCTTACTTCTCTAGCCCATGACCCCATGATCCTCCAAGTCTACAACTGCTAATGTATAACTGCTGTAACTGCTTCTGCATAACTGCTGTAACTGCCCCTCTCATTTCCAAAGACTTAAGCTCCATTAAATCTTCAATTTTGCTTGTCGAATGGCTCCCCCTACATGATGCCACGTATCCATCATCACTTTTAGCCCTTCTTCAATAGAGAAACACCCACTTTGTGCGCGACTCCTCTTGCAAGTTGCCCATTAAACCCATGACCTTCTGCCAATGTCTGCTCCACTATCTGGGCCACTCCACACATAGGATTCAGCTTTCATTGGTGACACTTGTCCTTTGATTGATGCAAGATCCCCATTTTGACCCTGCCACATGCCATTACCTGAGTAGTCCACCTGTCGACAGAATCCAACAAAAATGGGTGCAAACAATTTCATTTGCTGATATTTGATGACATGATTGATCTTCTATATCTAGCCAAAAGTATGCTTCTTTACATGAATACTTCACAAGTAGTGTGTTGTGTGCTTTATATCTCCCCAATGTGCTGTATGCTTGTGCTTCTCTCTCTCTCTCTCTCTCTCTCTCTCTCTGCTACCATGCCATTGTATGATGTTGTAAGGGGATGCTACTTTTGACAAATGTAATCATGTGTGCAGAGAAATTGATTTGGAAATTTTTGTTTCAGACTGACGATGAAAAAGAATTATAATCTGTGAAGAAAATTATCTTTTCAGAGAGTAGTATTGGTTATAATGACTTGACCAGTTTCTCTTAAATTTTTTGTTAGAAAGAAGATAAAAAAAGGCTTCCCCTTCTCAATTTTTCTTTTGGAAAAATGAGGGGAAAGAAAATCTTCAGTTTATTTCCTTTTACTTTCTTTGCCTATTGTTTTAAGCCATTGCTTCTTCCTTGTAGGAATCCCAAGAACACAAATGTCGTGGATGGTATGGTAAAAGCTCTTGCTCGGGTTGTTTCAAGTGTACAGGTTAAAGATATGGCTGTTAATCATCTATTGATCCTTCATTCATTTGTTTGTTACCCTAGTCATGTGGTTAGATCATCATGGTGATATTAACGTGAACAACTTTGCTTTCATAAAAAATGTTGAGTTGATTGTTCATAATGCTCTTAAGTGTTTGTCATGTATGGAAGCTTTGAATACTAAAATTATGGCAGCCTTTTGAATGGTTTTGTGATGGGAAAATGTTATATAGAGTTTGCGGGCGTTGGGAGAATTGGGAGAAGGAGACTAAGTCATTGGTTGTGCCCCAACTTAATCATTTAGCGACAAATAGAAAATTTTCGAACAATATCTTTTCCACCATTCAATCACTTCATTCTATGGTCTCTCTCTCTCTCTCTCTCTCTCTCTCTCTCACACACACACACACACACACACACATAGATACAAACGCAAAGACACATTCTTATAGATAGACAAGTATTTTTTGCAGCATATTGCTTATATGTTGAATAAATATGATATTGGTGGTCTATCTCATGGAAATTGTATTAATCTTATCGATTTTTCTTTTTTGTGTATACTCCCTCATATTTAATGTATTGCTTCCTGTGGAAATATAAAGGAAAAAAGTAAGTCTCTGATTATTGAAATGGTTAACATTTCAGGTTCAGGACACGAGTGAGGAGAGCCTGGCAGCTGTTGCTGGAATGTTTAGTAGTAAAGCTAAAGGTAATCATATATTTCAGTTCTCATTTTGTACACCAAAGTATACTCTCTTAAATTTTTTTACTGAGCTGCCTGATTTTTTTGGTATCTTATAAATGATGGAAACCTGAGTTGTGTTATGATGTAGGCAATGTGGTTCTGGCAATGACTCATCGTATGTCTTTTTGTGCCTTTTTCGCTCTTTTTTCTGCTGAATTACCTTATCGGTGTTTGTCGCATTGTGCTGAAACAACTTTTGTAACTCATTTGAAGTGTGGAATCCTTAAATGCAATCATTGCAAAAGAATGTATAAGTTGGAAATTGAAACAGGAGTAAGACTTTACACATGCAGATGAGTGTTTTCAGTCTCAAAAGATAAATCTATTCGGTGTTGATGGATAAATCTATTTGACCTATGATACTAAAAGAAAATTGTCTTATACAAAGGGTGAAGAGAATGATGTTTGATATGCTAGAAGAATTATAAGTATAGAAGTGTTTAGGTATGCGAGGGAGACAGGCAGGAGGAGGGGATAAGAATAGGTTTTGTGCTTACAAAAATGTATGTATTTTCCCTGGTTGTTAGGAGAACAATTTCACTCAAAACACTCACCCCTAAGCTAAAGAGGTGGATTGTGCTATTTTAGATTACCCAATGTGTCTGAAAAAAGGGGTGATCCAGTGCATGAGGCTCCAATTAAAGCAGGGCTTGGGAGAGCTAGATTTCCCAATATTGTAAACCCCAAGGGGTTGGCTTGGTGGTCGGTCACTTAGCCTTTGGTGCTTCACGAAGCATCAAGTTTGAGGTTTGACTCCCATTGAATGCTATCAACCCCTTAGGGGCCACACCCGTGGGCATAGCTTGAGATTTGCCCGACCCATGTGAATGGGCTGCTTTGTGTGGGTCTTGGGATTAGTTGGATTTACCTAGATACCCCCTTATCAGAAAAAGGAAGGAAAAAAATTTCCAAATTGTACACTATCCCAAGGCCTTGGCGAAAACCTCAGTCTTTCAGAGATGCTTACCTATGTCTTTTCTTGCTATCTTGTGCAAATGGGGTTTTGAGATTATCATAAGGGCCTGCTCAGGCACTGGACAGTAGGATCCATTGACAGGAAGGCCTCCATGTATTCTAGGATTGTATAGATGAGAGTTTAGTTTCTGGATCAAGTTCAATTATGTATTTTATGTAGCAAAATCTGAATGCTCTATTCAGATGATGATCGCATAATATTTCTCTAGCAATCATGATTTATTGGGCAAAGAAAGAGCATGTCAGTTTCTATGGTCTCCAAAGATATTAATGACTTTTTTTCCCTCCATGTTGATGTGGACTCTTATATATCTTTTCTAGTATTTGAGGATGTAGAAGAGTAAGTGAAAAATATGTCTAATTTCAGAAGTACATGAATGCAAATGTTTTCGTCTAGCATTGTTAAGATTCGTAGGTGGATCAGTAGTCTGTTGGCAACCTTTGGTGGTGACACAATATGACTATTTTCTACTTTTGGCAGGGATTGAATGGAGCTTAGAGAATGATGCTTCCAATGCTGCTGTTTTGGTTGCAAGTGAAGCCCACACAATAACATTGGCTATTGAGGGTTTGCTGGGAGTTGTTTTTACTGTGGCCACTTTGACAGATGAGGCAGTGGATGCGGGAGAGGTAATTCTGTGTATGTGTAGTTTTTGTATGTTCACACATGAGCAGACAAAGATGTGTATATATACACAAATGGAAATAATGCATACAGTATTCACAGATCTGAGAATATAATTCTTCAAACATATATTTGTTCTTTTTATTTCTTCTGATCATAAAGTTGCGTGTATGTGTTTAGCTTGATTCTTATTCTCAAAATGGTTGTTGGCACTATCAGCTTGAATCCCCTAGATGTGACTCTGACCCACTGGCAAAGTGTACTGGGAAAACTGCAGTTCTCTGCATGTCTATGGTTGATTCAATGTGGCTGACCATACTTGATGCATTGTCCCTGATTCTAACAAAGTACGGTGATTTTTATTCTGATGTTTATAATGGTTCTTAGGAAATTCCTATTTTGCTGTCTTACCTGCTAATTTTGAAGGTCACAAGGAGAGGCTATTGTATTGGAAATATTAAAGGGATATCAGGCATTTACTCAGGTAACCATAATTTTGAGTCATTGACTCAAATATATATGGCTAGCAATTTAAGTATCTTTTGATAATTTTAATTTCCTTTTTGAATTCTTTCAAAACTAAAAGTCCACTTTAAAGCTATTTCTCTTTCTGTGCATCTATGTTTATTGATACGCCTTACAGCTTTTTGTTCCTTTTGAATGAGCTGTATTGATATTTAACTTCAACAGTGGATGACAGTTTGTGTCATTTGTGATTATTACACAGGCATGTGGGGTTCTTCGTGCTGTAGAACCTTTAAACTCATTTTTAGCTTCCCTGTGCAAATTTACAATCAATATTCCTTCTGAACCTGTAAAGTGGAGGTACGTATATTGAGAAGCTCATTACAGCTCCTGTTTTTCCTTGGATGATTGCAATGTAGACAGATTTTGGCAAATACTATCATGACTACATTTTTTGTATGACATGCTTGTAATACGGGCTCTTGGATTTTGTTGTTTTTGTCATGAAAGAGTTGTGGCTTTCTTTCTTTTCAAGCTCCTATGGTGTGTTCCCTTTTTTGGATTGGGATGGTTTGAATTGGGACCCATTTAAACAGACCTGAATGGATGGTTTGAATTGGGACCCGTTTAAAAATTTAGGGTTTAAATTAGTGAAATTAAAAATGTGGAACATAATTAGTTTCAACTTTTCACCCTATAGCTACTTGAGAAAAGATTGAGATATTGCCTTATATTTGTGGTTTCTGCAGTGGTTTACAATCTCCTAGTGCAAAACGTTCTGAACTGTTGGTTGATCAAAGGGATAGCATTGTCCTTACTCCCAAGAATGTGCAGGTATGTTTGGCTTTACATTATAGTCTATATATATTATATGACTATTAGCATGCTTCTCTGATTCACCTATTTGTTTGATGTTACTTTACATGCTTGGTTTAGTTAACAACATAAGGTTATCTTACTTTCCGAATTCTCATTTAACTGCTCTTGTGAAGTCAGGCCTTAAGGACTCTCTTCAATGTTGCTCATCGATTGCACAATGTTTTGGGCCCTTCTTGGGTTTTGGTAGGTCAGACTGTTTTCATTTCCATATCAAATCAATGAAGCTTGTTTATAACTCAGCTTCCAAAAATATGTAGGTTTTGGAAACTCTAGCAGCTTTGGACCGTGCAATCCATTCTCCACATGCCACTACTCAGGTGTTTTGTAATATCATTCTTTAAATGTTTATTCAACAAATTAAAACTAGTTTCATACTATGTCATAGTTTAGAGTTTTTCATACTTCCTTTATACATAATTTGTTCATTGATTTCGTGTTTCCTGACGAAGATTTGACAGTAATGATTTTTTTCACTCTAATTTTTTATGATAAAGTGTTAATTATATGTTCCTTAATATAAACTTTTAGACATATTACTGGTAATTTGAAGTAGATGACCTATGCATTTATCCACTTTGACTAGTCAATATTAGTGCATTAGTATGCCATTCAAGTAACTAAACCAAACCAAACTAAAGTAAGCCTTGTGTCCCAGTTAGGTGGGCTTGGCGACATGAATCATTTTTCACTAGTCCGCTCTATCCAGGGTTTAGGGTTTAGGGAAAAAATGTTAATGGGTGTGTCTTTCACTTTTTTATTCCTTTTATTTTTATTTTTTTTTGTGTTTATTTATTTTGTTTCTTATCATTCTCTTTTCTTTTTCTTTGTTTTGTTATGCCATTTGTAGCCTTGAATTCACGAACATAAAGTTTGTTATTGGGCCCTTCACCCTTTGGCTTACTGGTTAGGAAATCAATTGGAGAGAACATGTATAATATTATGAAGGAAAGAAGAGGGCCGTGTCACTATTTGCCATGCATGTGTCAAATTGAAGCACTTATCTCTATTTAGGTGTCAGAGATTGTCTAGTTTGTGGTAACACTTATCTGCTACATTTCCATAAGTCAAGAGTTCTTAATTTCACTGCAAGACATAATTTTGCAACTTTTATGGAGCCGGTGACTAAAATGAGGGAATGAACTGCAAACATGAATGTCGAATATAAAAAATGACAACTTGAGTAATTTCAATTTCTTCTTATACTATATTTTTATTTTTTTATTATCTTGCTTTATTTTATACAGAGTGTTTGATGAACATTTATGAAACTGTTGTATATGTACACCTGTAGGAGGTCTCAACTGGTGTCTCAAAGCTTACAAGAGAATCATCTGGTCAATACAGTGACTTCAGCATCCTCTCTTCCTTGAATTCTCAGGTGTGTTTTATTTTATTTTTCTAATCTTTTCCTTCTGTTATTCAGAAACTGCATGCCCTAACCCATGTTCTTCTTCTACTGTGAAGCTGTTTGAGAGCTCAGCATTGATGAACATATCTGCAGTTAAATCACTTCTTTCTGCACTATGTCAGTTGTCACATCAATGTGTGACAGAAACTGTAAGTGGTTTTGGACAAGTATCAAGTCAAAAAATTGGAAGCATCAGTTTTTCGGTGGAGAGAATGATATCCATCCTTGTCAATAATCTTCACAGTAAGGAATGAGTTTGCATGAATTTCTTATGGATAGCTTTGTTTTTATTTTGCTTTCCTCTTCTTTTCATTATGAGTCTTATCCGCAATTTTGCACTTGTATTTTCAAGAAATTATATTAAGTTATTTTAATGTAAAATATATAATTTAGGTGGATTAGTTAAATTATTTTTTTAAATTCTCTAAAATTTGATTTAGATATGTATGCTAATACCCAAATGTTATATATTTCTTGATTGGATTAAATTTGTATTTCCAGTAGGTCATCCAACTCTCTACTATGTGTTGTGTAGAATTGATGGGATTTGGGTTTGAACTCCAATCTTGGTATGCAGTAGATATGCGTTTAAGAATTTAGTGCTTCCCATAGGCTTTATGAATTATACTTGGGGTTCTCAGAGATATCTTGTTTTATTGCACACCGTAAACTATTATTATTGTGTCATTCTTGTTTTTAGATTTTTAAGATAATATTTCTGTTGTTTGATGTTGGTTGTTTGCTATATTTGGTGCATACCCTGGGCATAGTTCGATGCTGGTGCTACCTATTTTTGTCTAAATAAGAAGTTTTTTCTTATTTTGAGCAGTGAAGTTGGTAATTTTATGTATAAAATTATTCACATTTTGCCATGAAATAGGAGAGTATTTCAATGTAATTTATATCCTGTCTTTCTCCCATTTCGGGGGAGAAAGAGGGAAGGGGATTTCCTTTGCCCAGGAGATAATCAATCGACTACCTGATTGGTTTTGAAGATGTTGACTATCTGATCAGATATATAAATTCAGGCATTTGAAAAAATTGTACTTGTCTGTGTTTTAATTGCACATGAGCATCATATTGGGAAGTAATTAAAAGGTTCTGCCCTTGTCAGCATCTAATAATCTTTGTGAGCATGCTGCCTTGCCATAAGGACCATTAATAAAGGCATCATTATCTCTTGAGAAACTGGAGAAGTAAATGTCTGGTGGGAATACTTTTGGCACATGCCCGTGTGTCTGCTTGTAGGATTCTGTGCTAAAATGGGTTATTTAACTTTAGTGCTAAAAAATGGGTTATTTGCTAGATAATATTCTTGATGGATCTTATTATAGTAAGGTATGATAACTCAGAAACTGCATTTGTAATTTTATGCATTTGAAATATGGAATTTTCATATTTTCTTGAGATACAATATAATCTTTTACTTCATTGTAAGTTCGTCTACTGTGTTATAGGGGTGGAGCCTTTATGGGATCAAGTTGTTGGACATTTTCTTGAGGTGGTTTCAAATATTATTCCCATAAATTATCACATATAATGCTTACACCTTTTTCTTGCTTTTTAACATCATTAAGCTATTTTACAGCTTGCTGATAATGCTAATCAGAACTTAAGAAATATGGCACTTGATGCATTGGACCAATCAATTTGTGCTGTTTTGGGTTCAGATCAGTTTCAGGAAAATGCGGCATCCAGACTACATGGCACATCTCATGAAGTGAGAATTGTCATCTTTTTTTTTTGCTTTTTTGATTGACAGCCCCATAGTGCTTTTTTAAATGCATGGACACCTCTCTCTGTCTCTCTCTCTAGATGGAAGCCTTGCATGCAGAGTTGAGATCACTTGAGTGTGCTGTCGTATCTCCATTAAGAGTTCTCTACGTTTCAAATCAAAGCATCGATGTTCGTGCTGGATCTCTAAAGATTCTTCTGCATGTTTTGGAGGTAAATTGTTACATGTTGGGAATAATTTTATACTAATGATCTTTATCTCTTGATTTTTTAACTTTTCTCTTTTTTGTTCTAAATTATTTCAGAGGCATGGAGAGAATTTGCATTACAGCTGGCCAAATATTCTTGAGATGTTGAGGTTCACCTTCTACTGACCATATTTGCTTTCAGTTACCTTCTGTGCTTTTTGTTCTGGTTTAGACTGAGCCATTCCATTTGACTTTATTTGTAAGGTCTGTAGCTGATGCATCAGAGAAGGATCTTGTCACACTGGGATTCCAGGTTAGAAAAGCAAATACATTACTTTGTATTTTCCATCAGTAATACAATATTGCTGCTGATCTTACGTGTATGGTATACTAATTTTCATGCTATTTTAACAAAAATACGTAATTTGTCATGAAAATGCCTATACCATTGGTTTAATTTTATAATGGGATAAGTTGTGCTGTCATGCACTTATTTGCAGTACTTAGCATGAGAACACAAGAACTGTCGATGCTAAAAAAAAAGAACACGAGCTGTAGCTAATTGATTAGTGTCAAGTATAGATGAAGATGAAGAAGAAGAAGAAGAATGAGAGACGAGAGAAACAGCTGCTGTGTATTCACTATCATAAAATATTAGGGCTCCTACACATGTATTTATAATATAAGACTAAACTAAACTAAATGACATATCTACCCATACTAACACTTGACACTTCCCCTCAAGTTGGTGCAAATATGTTTCTCATGCCCAACTTGCAACAAAATGGATGAAAGACCTTACTACTAAGACCTTTGGTAAATACATCAGCCAATTGATCGTCCGACTTTACAGAAGGCATATATATCAAAACTTTATTCAATTTCTCCTTAATAAAGTGTCGGTCAATCTCAATATGATTGGTCCTATCATGTTGAACATGATTGTGAGCAATACTGATGGCAGCTTTGTTATCAGAGTACAGAGTCATCGGATCACCGTAAACAATTCTTATATCACTCAACAAGGACTGAGGCCACATGAGTTCACAAGTACCATGCTCCATAGCTCGATATTCTGCCTCTGCACTAGCCCGGGACACCACTGTTTGTTTCTTACTACGCCAAGTGACTAAATTTCCTCCTACAAAAGCGCAGTAGCTAGATGTAGACCTTCGGTCATCTATAGAACCTGCCCAATTTGCATCTATAAATGCCTCCAATCTCAAGTGACCATGATTAGAATAAAGATAAGCTGCTTAACGGTTACAGATCACCCATTGATGGCTCTCTGCTAACCCATTACTCAAAATGGAGTGCAAAATCTGACATGGAGGGCACTTAGTTAGGGATATAGGCAACAAACTAGCGCAATTCCCAATTGGGAAACATTTTGCGCCATTATCCACCTAACATTAACAATACTTAATTCCTTATCTCTACTACACCATTATGTTATTGAGTATTAGGAATAATCAATTTTCTAAGCATCCATCTCTCTTCACAGAGCTTTCTAAAAATAACTCAAATAGATACTCGCCACCTTGGTCAAAACTAAAAGCACAAAAGCTCTTATCTAATTGATCTCGACCTCATATGTGCAATGTCAAAAAAACATCTCAAAACTTTTGACTTATGGGAGATCAAATAGTCTTGACTCAGATGCGTATCGTAATCTATAAATGTGTCGAGATTGAGGCTTAGCTATCATACCCTCATACATATCTAGTCACAAATATCATAGTGGACTAAATGCGCCAATACAAATGACCTTCTATGGCTTTCCTACTTACTTGTGCTCAACCATTGCGAACAAAGTTACACATTCACATGAGAGCAGGATGTCATAAGCGAGTGGGCCAGAGAAGGCCTACTCAAATCATCGTGTCATCATCTTATTTAATGTGATTAAGTATAATTAAGCTACCGGTTTATGACCAATGTCATAAACTAATTCCAATCATCTTAATATGTGAGTTCTCGAAGACAAGTTTAAAAGGTTTAGGCCCAACTAGGTAATGACTCATGACTAATTCATATTCACTAGATCATAAAAGGATTTCATGGAGATATCAAGTGCGCCTAAGTCGCAAATTTAACTAGTAAGTGCTAATCCCCTACACCTTCAAGTCAATTTTATTCTCCATACACTTTACTGCATCTAGTTGAAAGATGACGATACTCTTCTTGCCATCTTTATTTCTCACTTCATAGTTACTTGCAATTAATTCTACTATCCACTAGAAGGAGAGAATAAGTTATCAATCTATGATAGCTCCTGAAGTAACTTAAGCGCGAATTAGGCTGAAGAGTCTAATTCAACACAATGCTCTCACAAGTGATGCGTCAAATTTTTAGAGTCATAGCAACCTTGTCGGCCTTGACCTTTTCATTATTATGCTGCAACGTTTGCGCTTAGTGGTAAATGTTATTCAAAAACGTTAGCCTAGCTAAGGAATCATACAAAGAAGCCCCTCCTCATGTCTCACACTCAAGTGTGGAAACAGTAAGTGTCCAGACTTAGACAAGTTGGCAATGCTAATAGATTTTGCAGCCACTTGGCGCTAATCTTTTCACTTAGTGTTAATAGATTTTGCTGCTACTAAGCGCTAATCTTTTAACTTCAAGTGATACTTCAATGCACACTATTATAGTGCGTGAAATTTTGCTCCATCCACTCCCAACAATTGGATAAAGAGAAAAACACTGCTCATACTGGCTACTCATCTTACACTTAATGACTAATTTATTTAAGCTCGCATTTCTTGGATGACGTGACTCTTGAATATTACTTCATCCAATGATGTAACTTTATTTACAAGTCAAATTACAAAGTCACTTCGCGCAGCTCAATAGTCAAGATCATATACAGATCTATTGAGGGCTAATTAATTTCATAACTCCAAAACTCACCAATCAAAACTACGTAGTGTGCTGCTAACCATAGCGCACACATCAAATTTTGTTGTGCCGAACAAGGCAACAAAACTAGGGCGACTTTGAGTTATGTTTCCTTACTTTGGCTCAATTAAGGCTTGACCTAAAGTCTCAAAGACTTTTGCTCATCTAAAGAATAGGATTACATTGTTCACATTTGAACATCTCTACTAAGTCTAGGTCAACCAAATAACTTCCACAAGCTAAGTCAATTTAGAGAGAAATTCGTATTGGGATTAATTTTGATTAGCATAATATAATTTTGCCGCAAAAATCTAAATTAAATAGTGACAATATTACACAAGTCGCAAGATCGAAAATCCGCTATGCTCGTAATCATCTCTTGCGCCACAGGTGACAATTATCCAAAATTTAATTTAATTTATGCGCAAAATATTGGTTTTCGAGAGTAAATCTACACATATTTCTCTCAACCGAACAACCTCCCACTGGCTATGGCATGTCAAAGCATGATAAATTCCATATAATAGCATCTTAACGTAAATTTACAAATAACTCATGCTATATTTATTTAATAATGGAATTCAAATAAATAAATAATCATGCTTCTTTAATTGCAACATATTACAAACCCAAAAAATATTCTGTATTAAATATTCAGATTATGCCATAATTAAAGTGTACATCATTTTGAAATTTTCTAGAATTTTCTGAAATTTTCTAGAATTTTAAATAACTAATAAACACACATAAAATTAGAAATAAAAAATTCAAAAATTGATAAACAGAAACAATATTCAAATTATGCCATAATTAAAATGTACATCATTCTGAAATTTTCTGAAATTTTTCTGAAATATTCTGAAATTTTAAATAACTAATAAATACACATAAAATTAGAAATAAAAAATTCAGAAACTGATAAACTGAGACAATATTACCAGTAAATAGTAAAACCTTTCAGAAGTCCACAATAAAAATTTCAACCCCAGAAAATAATTTATAAAACATGAATTATTAACACAGAAAAAATATTTTATATTTTCTGAAAATTTTCAAAATTTTACAGAATGTAGAAAAATTAATTTTGAGTCTAACAGTACAAGCCACGCATAAAACAAATATGTAATGAATTAATTATGACCATTTAACGCGATTTAGAATTAAAAACAAAACAAACAGTGCCTAATACGCCAGCAGCCAAGCCAGCCGAGCCGGCGGAGGAAAACGGCGCGGCTCAGCACGCGGCTCGGCGAGCGGCTCAGCCCAAGGCTCAGAGCACGGCGTGCGTGCATGGCGCAAAGGGCGCGCGCGTGAGGGCGCGTGCAGGCGCATCGGCAGGGCATCTGGCGCGTGGGGGCGCGTGGGAGCAGCTCACGGCGTCAGATGGCGCGTGCAGACCACGCGCCGCCTTCCAGGGTGTTTTTTGGTCCGATTTTTTTTACTGCCGGACTCCTTTTTTCAAAATAAAACCATTTATGGTATTAAAAAAGACATTAATGAACATAAAAAAATATTTATGCTCTTAATCTAATAAAAGTAGATTTTTTTTTTCTCCCTTACAAACATTCATGTATATAATGTATATATATACATATAAAAATATACACATGATTAAAGGAAACACGAAAATATCCATTAACGCTCTGATACCAATGTAAACAAAGTATAACGCAGCGGAATAAAAATTATGATCATACCTTTCAAACAAAGTCTGAATTGAAGGATCTCGTGGGTAAATCACGTGCTTCATGAATCTGGTCAATCAACCCAGCAATGGGATAATATTACAATAGTGAATATCACCCACATAAACCACAGTGCAAATGGCTTTGATCATTGTTTTTGGAAGAGAGTCAGTATATGGGAAAAACTTAAACATACGTTATTTTTCACTTAATCACCCATATCTCATATATCAGATATATAATCTATTTATCTCATTTATCCATATTTGTTATATGAGATAATATTTGATATCTATATCATCTATTCATATCAAGATATGATAGATATATTTCCTGAGTGGCTATCCAAATAGGTTTGAATTCAAATTCAAAACCCATTTGGATAAGGTTCAAAAGGTTGAAAAGGGTCATGCCACATGGGCGCCCAATTTCTAACAGTTGTGTTTAGATTATTAGGCTGAGTTTAAAATGTACTCTTAAACAGTTTGTTGTATTCATATATTAATATGTTATTAGACTTTCTTACTAAATGTTTATGTCAACATATAATATTTAAAAGAGTAAATTACACTTTGTCCTTCTTAAGTTTAAGTATTTTGTCTTTCTTAATCTTTCTAATTTTCTCACTTTACAGCAACAACTAACATCTATCCGATCCGAGTTTGGATAGAAAACACATTAATACAGTTATTACATAACATAGGTTTAACTAACATAGGTTTTTGCATAGAGAAAAAAGAAAAAGAAAAAAACAGTGCCTAGTAGCCTCATTGGGAGCTTAGCTGGT